ACAATCCTAAAGACCTTGCCTTGAAAGTCGATTGCACTGCCCACTCTGTAGAATACGACGTGTCCACTAATTCAATACGACCCCTCATGGTCCAGACCGATGTGTGGTGCTCCTCGGGCTCTGCCACCTCTGACGGTACGTTGGTCCAAACCGGCGGATTCAACGATGGAAGAAATATGGTGAGAACGTTCAAACCGTGCAGCACTTGTGACTGGCAAGAAATTGGAACTGGCTTAATTCAAGGTCGATGGTATTCTGCCAATCAAATTCTTCCTGACGGAAGGCAAATTATAATAGGAGGCCGTGATGCTTTTAACTACGAGTTTTATCCTAAAACTGCTTCAACAAACAAAGTATTTAGTCTTCCGTTTATTCAACAAACTAATGTTCCTAAAGAGGAAAACAATCTTTACCCATTTGTTTTTCTCAATGTGGATGGAAATCTATTCATTTTCGCAAACAATCGAGCTATATTACTCGATTACACAACAAATACGATAGTGAAAACGTATCCACAAATACCCGGTGGTGACCCAAGAAATTATCCAAGTACGGGTTCTGCAGTTCTTCTTCCTTTGAAAAATTTGCAAGCACAAACAATTCAAGCTGAGGTTTTGGTATGTGGTGGAGCCCCAATTGGCTCATACCTCAAAGCGGCAAGAGCTAATACCTTTGTGGGTGCTTTAAATACTTGCGGGCGAATTACAATTACTGACCCAAATCCACAATGGACCATGGAGACAATGCCACTAGCTCGAACAATGGGTGACATGGTAATTTTACCAAATGGAAATATCTTGATTGTCAATGGAGCCGCGGCGGGCACGGCTGGATGGGGAATTGCTAGGAACCCGGTTTTGAGTCCGGTAATTTACCGACCCGATAACCCATTTGGTTCTAGATTCGAGGTACAAAATCCGAATGCAATACCTAGAATGTATCACTCAACAACAGTTTTACTCCGTGATGGACGAGTTCTTGTTGGTGGTAGTAATCCAAATGAGCTTTACAATTTCACTAGAGTTCTTTTTCCGACGGATTTAAGTTTGGAGGCATTCTCACCATCCTACCTAGATTCAAACTCTACTAATTTGCGCCCACAAATCATTTCTCCCGCTTCTCATAAAACAATCAAGTATGGGCAACGTGTTAACATTCGATTTACTCTTTCCGGATCACTCCTCAACACAAATTTGATTAAAGTGACTATGGTTGCACCTGGATTTAACACACATTCGAATACTATGAATCAAAGAATGCTTGTTCTTTCAAGTGAAAAGATAAAAAAAACTGGAATATTCACTTATCAAATTAGTTCGATTTTCCCTAATTCGGGTAAATTAGCACCACCTGGTTACTATATGTTATTTGTGGTTAATCAAGATATACCAAGTGAAGGAATTTGGATCAAGATTCAATAACCACATTGGTTATATTTGTGATAGAGATTAATTCTTTTCTTGATTTTGAAAAAATAAAAATAAAATTGTAATAATAAATTAATAATAATAATATATTTGATTGTTTTGTATTTTTTATTGACGATATATTTCAATCATTTTCTTGGATATTAATAAATTACAACACTTGAAAGATATGTAAATGATGGGATACTATAATGTGGTGGCATGGAAATTAAAAAAAGGGGTAGTATAATGTTAATTATATAATGTGACCATGCTTCTTCAACATATTCTGTCTTTATATATTTTCTTATTAGCTAGACTATAATTAATTAGAAATTATATCTTCTATGCATTTTTAAAAAAATTGACCTCCTGAACTTTGTTTAAATCATAATTAATTTATACCCTCTCCGTCTTATATTAATTTTTTATTCTATTGTAATTACATTATATTTAAGAGAATTTCAACTTTAACTAAAAGCAAATGAATTTGTATAAATATGATATTGAATGACTTGTCTTGACAGTTGACATGAAAGACTAGTACATTCATAAGTGTCTTATTGCTATACAAATCAGGATATTCATATATAATTACTAAGACTTAAGGTCGTTATTGATTGATCTTAACAATTCAATAACATATCACGTTACATTTAAAAGAAATTCAATTTAATTGATTGCATTCAAGTTTGTATAAATGTGACATCTAATGATATTTCGTGATATGAAAAACTGATAAATGATTGCATTCAAGTTTTGTATAAATATGACATCTAATGATATTTTGTGCTATGAAAAACTGATAAATCTATAATTGACCTTATTGTCCATATAATTCTTACGGATAAAAATCTCTATTAGCCAATCGTATCAATCCAATAACATATCACATTACATTTAAGTGAATTAAAATATTTTAGCAAAACTAAACGTTGCATATGTTTAAATTAAATAATTTAATTTTCTCTAATAATCCAACCTATCATTTGTGTTTTGTCCCCACTGTCCTACTTCAAAAACAAAAACAAGGCTCTCTCGCACACACAAAAAAATAATTAAATAAATATGAACAATAACTTAATAACATGTTACATTATAATTTGTTTGATCATCTTCATAGATTCAGACCATATTAAGTCATCTTTACCTCGACAAATAAGTCAATATATTATTATATGACAATTCATATTGATTATTTATGAAAACTTTTAATACATTAATTTTTTTTATAGTATATTAGTTTATATAATCAAATTAAGCTTTATATATATTGATGTTGTTTGTAAAATCATGTACTATTAACTTGACATACACGTGCAACACACATATCAAACAATTAAGGTTATAAATATTATATTATAGAATTTTGAAGGAACAATTGATTCAAACTTAATAAGGAAGACAAATTCATTCATTAAAAAAATAATATTGAAAATATAGCTAGCTCTCGTGAAAATAAAAAACAAGGGGTCATAATTCTATTTTAGTGAATTTCAACTTAACTAGCCATTTTTAGGGTTCGTACAAACATGTGATAAAAGAAACGTATTGTAAACTCATAATTGACCTTATTATTATATGAATCATGATATACACTAGTAATATCATTAGGGATTAAGGTCGTTATTGTCTGATCTTAACAATTTAATAACATGTCACAATATATTTAAGAGAATCTCAACTTAATCGATCGCTTTTAGGTTTGTACAAATATGACATTGAATGATATTATCTTGATAGAAAGATCGTTAAATTCACATTTAACTTTATTAATGTACAAATTAAGAAAGACATACAATCATTAAGGATTAAGGTCATTGTCAGCTATTTTTAACAATCCAATTATAACATGTTACGTACGTTATATTTAAGAGAATTTCAACCTAATTGCTCGTATTTAGGTTTGTACAATCATGACATTAAATAACATTGTCGTGATATGGAAAGTCGTTAAATTCATAATTAACTTTATTGTTGTATGGATCATGGTATTTATATAATCACTATGAATTAAGGTTATTGTTGGCTAATATTATCAACCCATACCATGCCACATTACGTTCAAGCAAAATTAAATTTAACAAGTATTTTAGCAAAATTAAACATTACACATATTTAAATTCAAGAACTTGAACTTTTCCTTCTAATGCTCCCATCACTTGCTTCTCCTTTATCCCCTCTTTCTCACTCTAAAATACGAATTATAATAATAAGATTAACACAAAACATAAATAAATTAGATTAACAGATTTAAACGATAGATCATTAAAGTGTCACATTATATTTGTTTGTTCTTTTTCAGAAGTTCAAGCAATATTTAGTCATTTTTTACCTTAACAAACAAGTCAATATATTTTTATGATGATTCATATTGATTATTCACAATAACTTGAACTTAATAAGAAATACAAGATAACTTGCAATAAACTAAAATTTTAACTAGCTCTAACGAAAATAAAAATAGAGGATCATAATTTTATTTAAGAGAATTTCAACCTAATTGATCAAATTCAATTCATGAGAAAATTTGCAATAAAATTAAAACTGTACCTAGCTTTTACGCAAATAAAAAGTAAAAATCATAAATTCTATTTAAAAGAATTACAATTTAATTGTTCACATGCAAGTTAGTACAAATATATCATCAAATGACATTATCATTATATAAAAGACCTGATAAACTCATAATTAACTTCATTGAGTTGTGTATATCACGATATCCATAAAATCATCAAGGATTAAATCATTGTTGGTTGATCTTAACAATTTAATAACAAGTCGTGTTCTGCTTAAAAAAATTCAACCTAACTGATTATATTCAGATTTTGTACACACATGACATCAAATGACATTATTATAACATGAAAGATCGATAAACTCATATATTAACCTTATTATTCTACAAATCAAGACATCCTACGGTCACCAAAGATTAAAATAGTTATTAATTGATCTTAACAATTCAATAACAAGTCACGTTACATTTAAGAGATCAATAATGTCAACCTAATTGATTGCATTTAGATTTATACAAACGCGACATTAAATGACATTATCGCGACATAAAAATACGGTAAACTCATAACTAACCTTATTATTAAACAAATCCAGACATCCATACAATCACTAAGAATAAAAATCAATATTGACTAATCTTAACAAATCAATAATATGCCACATTACATTTAAGAGAGTTTTAATCGAACCAATCACTTTCAGATTCGTACAAACGCGACACCAAACAACACTATCATAACATAAAAAATCGACAAACTCTTAATTAACCTCATTATTGTACAAATCAAAATATACATACAACCATTAAAAATCAAAATCATATATTGATTGATCTTAACAATCTCATAACATGCCACGTTACATTTGAATACAACATGCCACATTACTTTGAATGTATCGCCCAACAAACAGTCTAACAGAAGTTTACGTTACACATTAAATGGAATCTTATTTTCATAATTACTTTTTGTCATTTACTTACCAACTCCAAATAAAACAAGGGTTATTTACACCAAAAACATTTAACCCTCTTTTTGTGTATAAATATAAATCCTCCCAAAAACATATCGCCCATATACTTTTATATATCATACATCAAACGTTTCCTTGAGACAGTAGGAATAGTGATTTCCTTCAGCCGGTGATGCTAACGTGCGCAGCCCCCCCTTTTTCTCCACTCTCTCTCTTAGAAGATTTCACTCACGCGACCTAAGGAACAACAGCTTCAACATTCAGGTCCGATCCTTTAAATAAAACCCTAGTTTTCTGGTAATTTTGTTACTTTTTGTTCTCAATTTTGAGCTGTTTTGTGTTGTTAACGATTTACAGGTGTGGAAAGTGTTGAGTTTAGCATAATTGGATGTTTTTTTAGTTACTGGAAACTGAAATAGTATTGTGGAATTGTTTGCATTGGTTCAAAGGGAGAAGATTTGTGTTTTAGGATATGAATGTTGTTGTTGTGTTTATGAAATTGGGGTTTGTTTGGATGATTCAGTAATCTGGAAGAGTTGTATTTGTATGTTGTATGTGAGAAGGATTTTTTGCTAGGGTTATATGTGGAGGGAGGAAGTGTAAGCTTATTGATACCCTAAGGATTTGTGAAATTTGGATTTGTTTTGCTGATTTAGTGTTTGGAAGGGTTGTCTGTTATATGTGGAGGGAGGAGGTGCAAGTATAAATTGATAACCCTAATAAGGGTTTGCTAGATATGGGGGAGGAAGAGAATGTTAAGTTAGGGTTGGAGAGAGGAACTAAGAAGCGGATTGAGATGAAGTTTGATTCAGGAGATGATGAGCCTATTGGGTCTTTGTTGAAGTTAAAAAGCAAAAAACACTCGAAGAAAGCGAAGGTGGATTTAGGTGGTAGTAAGGATGTAATTCAGAAAACCGTGGTTAAGGGTGAAGATTTGGTTGGCATGGATGATACATTAGCTAGTTTTAGGAAGAAATTGAGGGGTCCGAAGAAGAATAGTGGATCTGTGTCAACAATTGTTAAAAGTTCAAGTAGCAATGCCAGTAAGTTAACTGGGGAATCTCCAGATGGGTCTGTGAAGGTAGCGGCAAAAATTGTGGAAATGAGTCTGTCAGATGTTGAATGTCTATCTGAAGGGATAATTGATAAGGGTTTCGAGAAAGGGAATAAGAGAAAAGGTAAGAGACCAAAGGTTTCTTCGGAGCTGAAGAAAGTGGAGATATCTGGGGATATGTCCTTGCAAAATGATAAAGAGTGTGGAAAAAGCTCTCCGAATTGCATGGATGGAATTCTAGAAGATTCACTATCAGCTTTTCTGAAGAAAGCACAATCTGGTTTTATTAAGAAATCACATAGCTCTTTGCAGTTGAAAAGAGGGAAGGAAAGTGAAGTTTTATGTGATGTTTTGAACTCTAGCCCTACTGCAACCGAAATCTTTCCTTCCATATCCACAAATATGTGCCAGAAATTGGGTGAGGAAATTCCTGAATCCAATGAGGATGTGCATGTGTCACTTGATGGAGGTTCAGTCGATATGCACTTGTCTGAAAATAAAGAATTTGTGCAATTCATTCAATCACAATCTGATTCAAGGCCAGAGCTTTCTTTGTCTGCATTGAACAATGTTGAGTTGTTGAAATCAAGCATCGCCATAGATGATGCATCTTCCATTGAAGGATCTCAATTAGATGTACCAGCATGTTTTAATAAGATCGCAGGTGTCCTAGATGGTGAGGTCAAATGTCACAGTAAACTTAGTGAGGAGGGAACTGCCACAACAAATAATATTGTGGGTGGAAATTGCAAAGATCTTCATGATGAGGATGTCATGAAGAACTGTTCTACTTTTCATGAACAGTCTGCTTCCAAGGATGGTTTTAGTGATCGTCCAATGGCAACAGGTCGTGATGTTTCGTCTGCAGATACCATTACTCCTGAGAATGTTGAGATGCTTGAGCATCCCATGATAAAAACCAAATTCAATGCTGATATGGATGTGAACTCAAATGCAATTTTAAGCAGCCGAGAAACTCATGTAGATGATCAAATGTGCTCTTCAAATCGAGCAGATGATTCAGGTTCTTGTAGAAGTGTTCAGTTATTGAACAAACTTGATCATACATCTCAAGGAAGCATTGGAAATGTGTTTAGTCGAACTTTGATTTCGTCCACTTCCCGGTTGGAAGGTTCAACTGCAGCCAAGGAGAACACAGACATGGAAGGTTCTGGGTATGCTCAAGTTCGTTTGATGCCTGATTTTATTGCAGCAGAGAAGTGTTCAAGTGACTTTGATGATCAGCAGCGAATTTCTGTTGATTCTGTTTATGAGCAAGCTTGTGCTCCAGTTTCTTTGCCAAAGGAGGATGGTCAAGTGTTTGTGGGTGGGTCATCTCCAGTGTCTATAGGAAGGAGTCAGCAAGTTAATGTCAGCCAGATGAAGCAGGAGGACCAAATCATGGAGAATAGTAATGACTTATATGGTTCTTCCAAACAAATGACTATTGATAATGCTGCTATCTCATTGCGCAAATGCAGTTCGGTTTTCCATCAGAGTGAACTGGCTGATGAGAATTGTGAAGGTTCACATCATCAAAGTCGTGTCTTTGTTTCTGGAGATGATGAGGCTGATGCATCTTCTCCGTCAATTACACCAGAATGTGATGAAAGTGTTGCTGAAGAGACTGAGTCTAAGCTGGCAGCTGAAGAAAAAGAGCAGAGACTCTTTTCAGGTCAACGTGCTTCACGCAAGACTAAAAAGCGTAGGCACGGGGATATGGCCTATGAGGGGGATGTGGATTGGGACGTTTTGGTGCATGGGCAAGATTTTTTTTTAAGTCATCAAGATGGAGAGGGTAGACATGACTTCAAAACAAGAGAGAAGCTTGACTCGTCGTTGATAGTTATGGATACTGAAAATGGCGGGGTAGCAGCAGTATCTGTTGGACTTAAAGCTCGTGAAGTTGGCCCAGTAGAAAGAATCAAATTTAAGGAGGTCCTGAAGCGCAGAGTTGGACTCCTAGAATTTCTGGAATGCAGGTAATGACAGATTTTGCACTCTGAATACCATATCCGGTCTTCTAATACCTTGCTATTAAGTGCCTTACAAGAGATTTTTCCATGAGATAACTAAATTATGTTTATAATCTGTCCTTTAATTTTGTTTCTTTGGGTTCATTCTAATCTCTGCTCCGGTTCATTATTGCAAAACTTGAGCTAATCTAGGGCTATTTGAACAGAGAAATAAATATGCTCCTGCTTTCCTTGAAAAGTCATTAGATAGAATCGTCTAAGGGTTAAGCGATTAAGAAGAACTCTTCTAAGAGTTAGAACTAGGGACCTCCTTTTGAGGGAAAAAGACCACACAAATAAAGTTCAAAGATAGTTCTTATGGTGAAAGGGGAGAAAGTTCTAGTTAATAGTTTCATTTTTGACTACTTACAACATAATTCAGATGGGTTATCTCTGTTTAGTCTGCTGGCAAGCAATGGCCGTGTTTCTTGTTAGTTTCAGTAAATACTGGGATGATATTGCAAAAAATTCTTCTTCTCTCTTTTAGACAGGTGATGTTGCTTGAAGGTTTAGTTTAGATAAAGTATGCCTTTAAAGCATATTATCTTTCCTTCCCTTTTTTATGATTACCAAGAAATCCCCCAGGACTAGTGGCGAACGGTTCAATACATGGTGATAATGGGCTGCCCTCTACCATTCTCCATTCAAATATTAGGATTTTCTCTTTTGTCTGCCGCAAGGTTTGACCTGTGGCATGCACCTAACCCACACATCACAGTGCAGGCTGCACTGTTACTACTAGACTAAAGCCCTTGGGGTTAGCATCTTTCCGTCCCTTGTTCTCTCTCCCTCTCTCCCTCTCTCTATATATATCTATCTATCTACCTATGATGTGATAGGTTTATTTTTTGAACGTGCACACACTATTTCTTTAGTTGGCTATGTAATTGGAACAACTTATTGGTTTCTGATGTGTTCACATTGGTGTCATATCTTATGGTCTACCTACCGTGATAACCATTGATCAACAAAAGAGCTATCTGCTTTATCCAATATTTTGTTAAGTTTACTTTGTTTAGTATTTTAGATAATTTTGATAAAGCTAAATATACTTTGTAGTTTATGAATGACTGGAAAGTAATTTCTGTACTTTATTGATAAGGTAAATTGAAAAGTACCTTCTTTATTAATGTGCATAAAAGCAGTTGGTTGGATAGGTAGGTTTTTCACCCTCCTTTTATGCGTCTTTACATTCATACCCTGGTGGTCTGTAAGAGAAGGGAGCAAGTAGTTTCCTTTTCGAACAGGATATTAGTTTCAAATCTATCTAGAGAACCAAAGTACCAATTGTTCCACGATGCATCCTATGAGAATATCATTAGACTATGTTTGGTTCCCAGAAGGGAAGGGAGGGTACGATACAGAGAAGCTAACTTTCTTCCTTCTTTGGTGAATATTGATTATTTTATTTGAGTTGGGTATGGTTGCTACTTGGAAGGGAAGTAAAAGCAAATATCCTTTCTCATTTCATTTCAGTTCTAGACGGATTGGAAAAGCTGATGTGTAGGGAAATCCAACTTCTCACTTTTGGTTGCATCTCAGCAAACAAGAGACACTCCACTTTTACTTCTGCTCCAATCTCCGCTTTTCTTCTCAACAAACATATTGTGCACGAGCACTGCAAGTATTCAAATTAGGAACATGAGAGGTGATGATCCGTTTAGGATAGTAATACTATAAGGCTAAATTTCTTTTCTAAATAAAAAGAGAGAATTTAAAATTTCTATGTAATGCAGGTGGGTGGGTCTTTAGGGTTCTCACATTACCCCAACTTGCAGCATGTACTGTAACTTATACACGCCCGACCCTTTCCCCTTCTCATATAATTTATACAAAAGCCACTCTTTAGGAAGTTAGGCTTATGTATGATCATGCATGGACAATTGGAATATTGTTCCGGATACTCTTTTTTTCTTTAAACAGGTTTTCTCTCTTATAACTACAGTCGAGGGGCAGAGGCATACACCCCGGAGTTTCGAACCGGTGTACTAAGTCGAAGCAGATCACCAGAAGCCCGTAGGGGATTTCTTCAATGTTAAGAAAGCTCTCTCTAAACTATTCTTGAAAGCTTTCTTACTCTAAATTATTTGTTAATGGGCAGTGGAAATCTAAGTTTTGTGACTGAAGGAGTTTTTTGTTTTGGCACTTTACATTGTTAACTTGCGTAGGTTGGGGATCAAAGTGTAATCTGCATGTTAACTTTCCATTATGATGCAGTGTAATCGTATTTGTTTTACATATTTTCATAATTGACTCTACTTCTCTTTTGGTGAATCTTTGTTGCGATGCAGGAATCAAATTTTGAGCCTTTGGAATAAAGACATCAGTCGCGTCTTGCCACTTTCAGAATGTGGAGTGTCTGAAACCCCTTTAGCGGATGAGTCACCTCGGGCTTCTTTAATTAGGCAAATCTACTCATTTCTTGATCAATGTGTAAGTTTTCTGCAATTCTCCTAGTTAACATTTGAACTTTCTTATTCAAGCTTTACAAAGGAGATCTGCCCCTTCTTTTTGTATGATCTTTCTCTATAAAACTACTTTGGTTCATGAACTTCTCTTTGCTTGCTTGCTTATCATTGTTTTTCACAGTTTAACCACTTTTAAACAGGGCTACATAAATTTTGGAATTGCTTCTGAAAAGGATAAAGCTGAAAATGGTGTTGAACACAACTTGAAAATTTTGAAGGAAGAAAAGACTATAGAAAAGTCTGGAGCTTCTGTTGCTGATAGAGACGATGGAGTTTCTTTTATTCTTGGGAGGTCAAAGAGTTCTGAGATTATCATGCCGGAGAAGAATGATGTCTTATCTGATGAAGGGAAAAAGACAGAAAAATGTGGAGCTGATTGCCAGCTCATTGATAGGCGGGCCATAGAGTTACCGGCTTTAGCAGAGCCTCGAGAATGTCCTGTTGATGATTGCCGTGTAAATGGTTATCCTGATATTCAGTCACCACGTCAACCGTTTGATCTAGGTTTAGTTGCTCAAGTGCCTTCAAGTGAAGTTAAGGATAGTGAATTACAGAATATTGTAGATCCAGATCTTTTGCCTCCCAACAATACAGAGATTGATGTTAGAGCTGCCGATAAACATCTTCTGATTTCAGAAGATTCTTGTGGGTTCACACCTGACTCATTAGGGAGTCAAAGGCTAAACACGTGCTGTGATGCAAAAGGGAAAAAAGAAATAATTGTTGTTGGTGCTGGTCCTGCTGGCCTAACTGCAGCACGGCACCTGAAGCGCCAAGGTTTTCATGTCACCGTGCTCGAGGCCAGAAGTAGAATAGGTGGTCGTGTTTTTACCGATCGCTTGTCTCTCTCTGTTCCAGTGGACCTTGGTGCTAGCATTATTACTGGTATTGAGGCAGATGTGGCAACTGAAAGAAGACCAGATCCTTCTTCATTGATTTGTGCACAGTTGGGTCTTGAATTGACTGTATTGAACAGTGATTGTCCCCTGTACGATGTAGCTACTGGCCAGAAAGTACCAGCAGATCTGGATGAAGCATTGGAAGCGGAATTCAATAGCTTATTGGATGACATGGTACTGTTGGTTGCTCAAAAAGGGGAGCATGCGATGCGGATGTCCCTGGAGGATGGTTTAGAATATGCCCTTAAGAAGCGCCAGAAGGCCCGTTCCGCAAGAAATCATATGGGTAATGAACCACAAAAATCATCAGTGACAGCAGTGGAATCCACGGCACTTTCTGATGGTGGAGTTCCTCAAAATAATAATTCTAAGGTAGAGATCTTGAGTCCCCCAGAGAGGAGGGTAATGGATTGGCATTTTGCTAACTTGGAGTATGGTTGTGCTGCATTGCTTAAAGAAGTCTCTCTTCCTTATTGGAATCAGGATGATGCATATGGAGGTTTTGGTGGAGCTCATTGTATGATTAAAGGCGGCTACAGCTCCGTTGTAGAAGCACTAGGTGAGGAACTTTGTGTTCACTTGAACCACATTGTTACTGATATTTCATATTGCAAAGAAGATGTTCCATCAAAAAATGATTTGTTTAACAAGGTAAAAGTCTCCACGACAAATGGACGAGAGTTTTCTGGAGATGCAGTCCTTATTACAGTTCCATTAGGGTGTCTTAAGGCGGAAGCCATCAAATTTTCACCACCTTTACCCCACTGGAAAGATTTATCTATCCAACGGCTTGGCTTTGGTGTTCTTAATAAAGTTGTCTTGGAGTTTCCTGAAGTATTTTGGGATGATTCTATTGATTACTTTGGTGCGACTGCTGAAGATACAGACGAGAGGGGCAGATGCTTTATGTTCTGGAATGTCAAGAAAACTGTTGGGGCACCTGTTCTTATAGCGTTAGTGGTTGGAAAAGCTGCTATAGATGGCCAGGAAATGAGCTCCGATGACCATGTAAAGCATTCGTTACTGGTTCTGCGGAAGCTTTATGGTGAGGAAAAGGTACCTGATCCAGTTGCTTCAGTGGTCACCAACTGGGGAAAAGATCCTTATAGCTATGGGGCTTACTCTTATGTGGCTGTAGGGTCATCGGGAGAAGATTATGACATATTGGGCCGGCCTGTGGAGAACTGTTTATTTTTTGCAGGTGAAGCTACCTGCAAGGAGCACCCTGACACGGTTGGTGGTGCAATGATGAGTGGGTTACGGGAAGCTGTGCGCATAATTGACATATTGACTACAGGCACTGATTACACAGCAGAAGTAGAGGCAATTGAGGATGCAAAGAGGCATTCAGATGTTGAAAGGAGTGAAATAAGGGACATTATGAAGAGACTTGAAGCAGTGGAGCTCTCAAGTGTTTTGTGCAAGGAGTCTTTGGATGGGGTGAAGATCGTGACCCGGGAGAATTTGCTAAGGGACATGTTCTGTAAGGCCAATACAACAGCAGGAAGATTGCATCTCGCAAAAGAATTGTTGAAACTTCCGGTAGAAGTTTTGAGATCTTTTGCTGGAACTAAAGAAGGGCTTAGCACACTTAATTTGTGGATGCTGGTATTAATCCTCACATATTTTAGTTTCATGCCTTATCTGTCGAACACAAATTGCTTGTTGTCTGACTCATGTTTGTTGGTCACAGGACTCCATGGGAAAGGATGGGACCCAACTCTTGCGTCATTGTGTTCGTGTACTAGTACTGGTTTCAACTGATTTGCTTGCAGTCCGACTGTCAGGTACATTCCCCTTTGAGTAAAGGAACTAACCCCCACCCCCCTTCTGCTCTCCTTTGGTTTTTCTATTGTGAACCTTCTTTTGAGATTTCTTTTTGGGGGTGGGTGGAAGAGGCAGTCCTGCTCTATAAGCTGATTTGTACCTTCAAATTATTTATGTGCACGTCCCCATTGGGGCTATCAATATTCTCTGTTAATGTTTCATGTTTTTCAGCTTGTATGCTTTAAACTCTAAATATTTGCTTTCTATATCCATTAATGGCTAATGATCCTTATAATTGTCATATCATTAGTGTATTTGCTTTGTCCTTGCATTGATTTAACTGATTCTATTCCTGTCATATTTTATTCAGGCATTGGGAAAACGGTTAAAGAAAAAGTCTGTGTGCATACTAGCCGTGACATACGTGCTGTAGCAAGTCAGCTTGTCAATGTATGGATAGAACTTTTTCGAAAGGAGAAGGCTGCTAATGGTGGTCTGAAATTACTAAGACAATCCACTGCCACTGATACTTTGAAGAGCAAACACATTGCAGCACCTGGCAAACCACCTATTCGCAATCATCCTTCAGCAGTAGACAGTAAACGGAGTTCTAAAGTTTCTTCATCGGCTGGAAATCACTTAGCTGTTAGTGTCAACAACAAGAAGCTGAATGTCAGGCCAGCCACATTAGGAACTATTCCAGTTGTTGAACCATCAACCTCTCAAGCTTCAGTAGGAAGGCAAAATGATACCACTAAGGAAAGGCAAAATTTCCCCATGTCTGAGGAAGAGAAGGCTGCGTTTGCTGCTGCAGAAGCTGCTCGCCTTGCCGCTCTAGCAGCTGCTGAGGTTAGTGTCTTATAATGTATTGTCCCCTAGATTTATTAATTGTGGTGACTCATTTGTTCAATATGGGGATGTGCTACATTTTTACTGTTTTTTTGGTTATTCCTCGAGTATGCAAGTTATTGAAAAAAGGGGAAACACACAAAGCTGGATTCTCTGTTATGTTGCTTTTGAAAAAAAATAAAAGACAGATAAAAACATTTATAATATGGTGCAGCCCAAAAGCAACATAACGGTGTATCATCCCAAGATTTATTAGTCGGGTTGATTCATTTGTCCAATATGAGAAGGGAATATGCTATATTTTTTTACTGTTTTTTGATTATTCCTAGAGTATATATGTTATTAAAAAGGGGGAAAACACAAAGTTGGATTCTCTGTTATTTTGCTTTTGGGCTTCTCTATATTGCAAATGTTTTTGTCTGTCTTATGTTCTTTTTTGTCAAATAAATCTTGGTTTCCTCTTAAGCAGCTCTACAATGATTACCCTTCATTGCAGGCTTATGCTTCATCTGGTGCCAAGTGTAACATGCCACTGCAGCTTCCTAAGATACCCTCATTTCACAAATTTGCTCGACGGGAACAATATGCAAATATGGATGAGTCTGACATCAGAAGGAATTGGCCTGGCGGTGTGGGAGGAAGGCAAGATTGTTTATCCGAAATTGATTCTCGCAACTGCCGGGTGAGGGATTGGTCTGTTGATTTTTCTGCTGCTGGTGTGAACCTTGACAGTTCAAAAATGTCTGTTGATAATCGCTCACAGCGTAGCCTCTCAAATGACAATGCATGTCAGTTTAACTTTAAGGAGCACTCTGGAGAAAGTGCACCTGTAGATAGTAGTATATTCACCAAAGCATGGGTTGATAGCTCAAATAGTGTAGGGATAAAGGATTACAATGCCATTGAAATGTGGCAATGTCAAGCAGCTGCTGCTAATTCAGATTTCTATGATCCAGTGATGCATGTCACTGATGAAGAGGATTCAAACGTGAGTTCCAAAATGGATATGAGAAAGCATGATGTGTTAGTGTGTGAAAGCTCTGCCTCACAAATTACTGTAAATAAAGAGGCACTAGATAATCAACCGAGAGGAGCAGAAAGAATTAAGCTGGCTGTTGTAGATTATGTTGCGTCTTTGCTGATGCCTCTTTATAAAGCAAGGAAACTTGACAGGGAGGGGTATAAATCCATAATGAAGAAAACTGCTACAAAGGTCTGATTTTTGTCCTGACTCACCCCAACTTCTCGTAGCCTGTTGGATTCTTTATTCTTTGTTTACATAATTGAGGTTCTTTAATCTTTTTATATCTATAATGAACTGATCCTGTTCCCAACTCCAGGTAATGGAACATGCCACAGATGCTGAAAAGGCCATGCTTGTGTACGAGTTTCTTGATTTCAAACGTAAAAACAAGGTACAAACTACTCTCAGTTGATTGTCACCTTTTTGCATTGTTTAATATGTTCTAACTGCTTATTGTTGCGCTACTCTTAAAGTTTCTTTAAACTAGAAATTTAATCTGCAGTATATGCATTTCAAAAGCAACACAAAGCTAATAAAGCTGTGAGTTACATTAAATGCAAATAAGCATAAGCCTATGGAAGACTGACCCTTCTCTTGGTGTATAAAATTCCACTATTCCAAAATTTAGTCTGGCCAAAGACCTTTCACCAGTTCCTTTAAATTCATATGGCAGTTCACCAAATGCTAAGTGTTAAAGAGTGTGGAAGACCTGCCCCTCTTTTTCTTTCTCAGAAAAGGATTTCCCTCTCTTCTGTGGATAGAGAAGGTTTAGAGGTTAAACTATTGATTGGAACTTTAGGTGTGAATTGTGATTTATCCTTGGTAATATGGGTTCCTGTATACAGAAGAGCCACTCTTGCTCTAGTTGTTGGAAATTTGGCAAACATTCATTTGTATATCTTAAAACTTGGAAAAGGAAAAAAGACATCTGCTTTTTCTCATGCAAATGACTCTTATTTTCTTACTTGCATTAGGTATGATGTTTACCTGGTTTAGTCCATAGGGATGAGTATGAGATATAGAGAACCTTTAATTCTAGGTTTAGTCTCTTAACTTTCCTTAAAAGCCAAATTGTCTAGTATTGAAATGATGGGATTGAGTGAGATTGAGGCATAATTGATTGGTTGAATATGAGATTGTTGAACAAGCTTTCCCACCATTCACTGTTATCAGATAAAGTGCCTTTACATATATCTTATAGCAGAAAGTGGAGATTTTGTTTTGGGGGTAAATTAGGCAGTGATTTGGTTTTAGGACTTCCATGTTGGAGGTCTCAAGTTTGAAACCCCTGCCAGCGAAAGCAAGGGATTTGCCTTCTGGGTCGAGCTTGTCGCACCAGGCTTGGTTAGTGCGGGTTACCTCTTCTGTGTGGTTTGCGAGCTATTGCATAGGAGCGGGGGTTTAACCCTGTGCGCACCAAAGGGGTAGCGGCTGCGGGTTTTCCTTGTCATAAAAAAAAGAGAATGGAAAGGACCACAATTATAAACAGAAAATAAGAAGAAAGAAAAGAGAAATGGGAATGGGCAAGTGCAGGAGATAAGTGAAAGGGAACTGTTTTCTCTTGTTTGGTTTGAGAGTAAGAGAGGAGAGAAGCCTATTCTTTCAAATTCTAGACTGTGGACAGGACAGCCTTTAAGCAGCTATGCTGATTTATTATTTCCTCCTTTTTTTAACTTCCGAACAATAGATATCTTAAAACTTTTGTAACGAGTACTCTTAAGTTTGCAGAGATAGTATTTGTTTCTTTCTTTAAATTGGGTTATATCTTGTCAAACCTTGCAAAGTACGACTAATCCCCACAGTAGAAAAAGGAAACAAAACATGAAACATAATCACAGGAACTGCTATTTACTCTTCTTACCTCCATGTATAGTCTTCTGGTGACATCCTATAAAATGGAACAATACAGAAAAGATTAGCATGGCCTGTTCACAAGGATGACAAACACAAATCTTCAAGCCTTCATGCATTTGTCCTCGGCTGAAAACATTGCTGAGAGTGAAAATATTCTACTCTAGCTCTCCAAGCTTTATGCAAGTGAAAAGATTTGGTGTTGGAAGAAAAACTTGATCCTTAATCTTGTATTATTTTCACTCTTTCCTTTTTCTGGAATTCTCAATAGTATGTAATCATCAAAGTGGTTGCTTTTATTCCAGATCTGCCCTTCACCACAACAAACGTTTCTATTGTACATGAAAACCTTTTAGCCATCTTTCGCATCTCAAAACCGTGGAAGAGCAAATATGACATAAGATATGGGAATGGGAATACATGGATGTTTTTCTTATCCTCTGTCATTATATCTTCCTCCATACAGACCTCTTTGGATAGGTTGAATTATTATGATAAAAATAAAATAAGACTAAAAATTATGTGGATCTGTTTGGAGATATACTCCGACTAAAAACACTTGTATTTTTTTTTATAGCATTTGCTCAATATGCTTGGTATTTATTTTCACTTTTCATTGCTTTTCTGCCTTTGATTTGTTGTATTGGTAAATCTGCAGATTAGAGATTTCGTGGACAAGTTGATTGAAAGGCATATTCAGATGAAGCCGGGTGCAAAATCATAATGGACAAAGGATGAGCAGTCACTCTTATTGATGCTTTACCGCAGGGTGATTAGTCTCATCAACTTTTTCATGAGTGGGTGCAACAATCATCGACGAGTGAGGAATGCAGGCTTCATTGAACAATTATCCTTGCCAAGCTAGTTGTTGTCTTCAGAGACTGTTTTGTTGAGCGTATCATGGACTGTTTATTGTAAGAGACTGATTAATTGTCCTGCAAATTTGAGACTTTTGACATTTCTGTTGCGGTGTGTCTGCAAGAAACATTCTCAAGGTGGCAAAGTCGGTGAAAACATGTCTGTCATGTGAATGTTATACTACTACTCCTGCTGACTGATGTGAATTCCTTCAGAGATAGCAAGATTAGGTTTAGAATTGGTAGTCAGATTTGAAGTTGTATTATATAGAAGAAAAGTAGCCCTTTGTTTCTTTCAGTTCAGGATTCCCCTTTGATGAACAATCACTTCTGACTTTTCTTTAGTTTTGGTATGTGTACAGCTCAGGATTGTTATCATTGGAACAAATACACAGAACATTTTGAGGGTGTCATATGCTTCCTTCATTTTGAAATATTGATTTCTCAGAATAAGTAAAAACAAAACCCTCCTTCTATCTCCCCTCTTAAAGATTTTTTTTCTTATAGTGTAGATGAAATCTCTTAGATATGCTATATTGAATTTCTTTCTATGATCTGTGGACTGCTCCACTCAATCAAAGAGAACATTGTTGAGATGTGTGCTTTTGGCGATTGTGTCCAAGTGGCTTGATCTTTGTTCATGAGGTTTCTTAATCCCTATGCACTACCCAGTGAAGAAGGCCAAAAGAAGAGGGAGCAAAGGGAGTACATAAGTGAGTTTTCTAGATCGCCTTCTCCATCCCCCCCAAGTGAGGAATGATCTTTATTCTCTCTGAAGGTGTGTGCGAATTTTCTGGGTAGTACATGCCATTTTTATGTTGAAAGTGAGGTGATTGTTGCCCCGTGTACTCACATTCTTTCAAGGGATAAGTTTGTCAAAGACATTTTCATTCTGCACTAGAAGTTTGCAATTGATGAAAAGATGCATGCTATAGAATTTTATGCATAACACTAGTAATCTGTTGATTTCTCACATGCGTTATCTGATCTTATATATTTCCTTTATTGTCAGGTTAAGCATATAGCTGAGAGCTGAGAGACGCAGCAGGAGGAGAGTCTTCTCTTTGGACTACTTGCTATTTCCAGTCCTTACAGGTTGCTTTTCTTGATTTCACTCTGCCTTCCTATTTACTTTTGAGGGCCTGCTTTTATTTTGGTATTACCAATTAGAAATTGTGGTCATTTTTCCTCTTATTGTCTCACTCTGTTTCTCTTAAGTTTTCAAGGAGATGGGTCTATCCATCAGGCTAGTAGTATACCCTCGGTTTGAGGTTGGTGAAATTTGATCGTATACAGTTCTGCAGAAACATATAACTTATCATATTGAACATCTTGGAATGGAGTACCGGTACCGGTAGTATGTGTACTACTGGCAGTAGATACAGATGAAAATATCAGCTATGCTGTTCAGTGCAGAATGATGTTGAAATGGGGAAGAGGTTCTTGATCGGATTGCTAACGTCCAATCAAAATCTCTCATTTTCCTCATGTTCAATGCAGTAGATAAAGATGGAAATATAAGTCATCTGATGTTCAGGTCAGGCAGCCATACAAAGAGGAAGCCTGAAATTCTTTAGGCCAGTGATCATTGTTCATTTTACTGGCCAATTGTAGTGGACTTTATAGTCTTTTAATTAGCCAAATATGTTTGTTCTGATTCTCTTTGCAGAAGTAACTATTTCCACTTCCATTATTTAGTTCAATGTCAGATTTCAATGTGCTAGGATGGAAGTCATATACATAACAGCTTTTACATAATTCCCTTGGCATGTAGTAACTTGTTGATGCATGATTGTGATTTCTGTGCTTATTTGTGCCCTGGAGAGCACTGCAGTTCATAACGTCACCTCCTACATCTGTTGTCTGCCTCGATCTACTGAGAAGTGCACACAAGATCTTCTATGTGCATTTAGTTCCTGTTTACTGTCACAGCGCACAAGCACTTGCTTGCCAGTAAGATTTCTGTTACAAGATAATTGATGATTTGCAGCTGTTGATTCATCATTGCAGTTGCCTCTACCGATTTCATGGTTTTATCTCCCTTCCTCCCCTGATATTTTCCCCTATTATCTTTGTTTAATGTTGCTTAAATGCTTAACAGTGCCTTGTCTTTCTGATTTTGACAGCGTACACTAATCATATGATTATGGTAATCAATGTTGAAGATTGCAGCTGAGAAGCAACCGTTCCTTATGAGGCTTAAACGTGGTCGCTGAAGTTGAAATGCCAGTGCTTCTTGTTAAGTAGTCTGCCCAGTGGCCTTGTGTGTAAAAAATTTATGGTACGACCTATATGCCATTTTAGTGTTTTAGATTTCGTGCACAAATACGCAGTACGAGTCGAGTATGCATACTTAAAGACAATTGTTCCTTCGCTTCTATTCCTTTTTTTTCTTTGAAAGTTTTGCTGGATGTTGGTTAACAATTTCATTTCACTACTTTTTTAATTATTTGAATTGCTGTTTTATTTAGCGTGAAATGTATGACGTACCATGATGGATAAATAATGTAATCACGGGTGAAAATGAATTAAACTAAATTGAGGTCATGGATAAAATGGATGGAGGTACTACTATGAACAAAATGAAACGAAACTAGAGATAAAATGGTGAGGTATTACCATTAGTGAAACGAAATAGAAGAATTCACGAAGTTAAAACATACGAGTTTTGACAAAAGTTTGGGATTTCCAAGCTAAATTTTACTCTCGGTATATTTAATCTTTTTCAGATTTCACTAGGTATATTGTTGTTGTTGTTGTTTATTTTGTTGTGTTCTTACTGCATTTTCGTTCTCTCTTTTTTCTATTTGTTTCCTTTTTTTTTGGGTGGGGGTGGGGGTTAAGCCAGGGGTCTATCGAAAACAACCTCTCTATCTCTACGAGATAAGAGTAAGGTCTTCGCGTGCACACTACTCTCTCCACACCGTATTTGTGAGATTATATTGGATATGTTATTGATGTCGTGGATTCTTTCACAAGTAAATGTCTGAACTTTAGACACCGTATGTCTGAACTGGCTAAACTTGCAAATTTTTACGCAGGATAGTTACGACTTCATGTTCCAAAGATGGGCTTTAGGCCCACACATACTTCTTTAATCACAGTCGGGTTAAGGCCCATTTATAGCTCAAGTGATGGATCAGGTTGACGATCTCAAATGTATTTAACAGAAGCATTTTAGATCAATCAATCAATTCCAATAAACACTCAGATCGCAAATTACTTCAATTTCCCAATTCGAAGAAGATAAAAATGGCTTCTACGTTTAGTGGAGATGAAACGGCACCGTTTTTTGGCTTCCTCGGCGCTGCAGCTGCCTTAGTCTTCTCCTGTAACTCTTTTTCCATTAGATCTAAGCTATGATTTTTTCATTTTTTTTTTTTGAATCTAAATCTAGTTTTTTGTGAATTTAGGTATGGGTGCAGCTTATGGTACAGCGAAGAGTGGGGTAGGAGTAGCGTCGATGGGTGTAATGAGGCCGGAATTGGTAATGAAGTCAATTGTTCCGGTTGTTATGGCTGGAGTTTTGGGTATTTATGGGTTAATTATTGCTGTGATTATTAGTACTGGGATTAACCCGAAAACTAAGTCGTATTATCTATTTGATGGATATGCTCACCTTTCATCTGGTCTTGCTTGTGGTCTTGCTGGTCTTTCTGCTGGTATGGCTATCGGAATCGTTGGTGATGCTGGTGTTAGGTATTTTACTATTTCTGCTAATTTTCTGTATTGTGTTTAATCATCGGCAGAACTGATATGGAGATTCATAAAGGAGTATTTTTTTGATATTGCATAGTTGATTATGTTTAATTATATGCTGGTATTGCGATAAATGTGAAGAGCATGTGGGTTTGGATCTTTAATCAGTTATGGCAGATTTTTTGTTACCTTTTGGCATTTCTATGTATGATCTGTCTGGATTTACTTACTTACTAGCCTAGCTTTTATTGGTTGTCCTTTATTTAAAAGATCACTCTTTTATTGGTTGTCCTTTATAAAAGCTCACTCTTTTATTGGTTGTCCTTTATTAAAAAAGATCACTCTTTTTTAGGATTTTCATGATTTGTCTTAAATGAGTAATGGTGAATTGTGTATTTGGCAGAGAGATATCAGGATACCAAATATTGTGGGTTGTTTCTTTCTCCTTTAAACTTGGGTCTCATTGCAACTCGATCTTTACTTGCATGTGGTTGACTCTGATAAAAATAATAGATGGCCTTTAGTGAATAAATAGATCCTGGGTGATTGATTCTGTTTTAGGACTATTGAATTGTTCTTTATGACTGATTGGTGTATATAGGGGAAGGTGCAAAAGAGGGGGAAGAGGGGACACTGGAGAGTGGTGGTTAATAACTTTGGGCTATAGCAATTCTGCATGTTGGGGTTGGACTGAACTTTGGGATACAGCAATTCTGCATGTTGGGGTTGGAACGGGAAATTGGAGATATAATTCACCTTTAAAGATTCTTTTTCCTTTGTTAGTCTCAAGAGAACTTCCAGGGCAGCCTTGGTGTAGTGGTAAGAGTGCAATGCATGATGTATGTGTTAGGCGCATGACACGGGTTCAAATCCTGCCACTAGATTTATATTTAAGTGGAGAGGGTTATAGATGTAGGTAAGTATCCATCAAGTTTAAAATCGTATGCTTAGCTATCAGACTTTTACACCTTGGTGGCTTAACTGAGTATATATACAGTTGCAGTCTCATGTTGTTGGCTTTGTTGGTTAACTAATGTAGGGGTTGATAGTCACAACTTCACTGCTCTTTCATTAGGCCTCCTTGTGTATCATATTCCCTTTTCTTATGTAGCATTCATATAGTTCTGCTAACTTCATTTATGCTTTACTCAGAAGAAGGTTTCCTCACTTTAGGTGAGAGAACAGACCAATTAATGGTGCATTTCTTTGTTTCTGTTGTTTTCAGAGCTAATGCACAGCAGCCAAAGCTTTTTGTTGGAATGATTCTGATCCTTATTTTTGCTGAAGCCTTGGCTCTTTACGGCCTTATTGTCGGTATCATCCTTTCTTCTCGCGCTGGTCAATCTAGAGCAGAGTAGAGAAAAAGTGTCACCTGTTCCATAATTGTGAAGTATCTTTGTGTTCTTCCTCGTTCGATGAGCTAGTTTGGCTGTTGAATTACATTTTGTTTAGTTTTGGCCTCCGTGATTATGTATTTGATTGCTTGGCTAGAAGAATTCCCTCAATAAAGATATCAAACTTTTCCGATATTTTTGAAAGACAATAATTGGATTGCTGTAAAATGTTCCCTGTATTAATTTATATTGACTTTACTTTTAAGCTTTCATTTGTTTCTGGGATATCTTTGCCATTTTATACCTATTGACTTCTGCTACTTGGTATCAGCTTTGGATGATATTTTACTCTTCTGCTGTCTGAATAATTTAGGCGACACAAGTTGATTGTATTAAAAAGATGGACAAAAAACTTTTTATCTGCTTCCTGATTTCAAAAGAACTACTCCTTTCGTATACAATCTGTTTGTCTAGTTTTGACTTGATATGAAGTTGTGTTTGACCATAGTTTCGGAAACATATTTTACCTTCTTGAAAACATGAAACATGGCTTATATCCCTAATGGTATTTAAACCAGGAGTGAGTTTTAATTTTAGTGGCAAGATCAATGTCTAGAGGACATATTATTATTTTTTATTTTTTGGTTTATGTTGGCCTTTAGGGGAGACACATGTACTCCCATTGTTAGAGAAAATGAGATCAAAATTCAAATGACCAGTGATCATTAACATAAACTATAAGACACACTTGAATGTCCGTCGATTGGTTCCATGTGATGTTGCTAGTTTCATCGGTTAGCAAAGGCTAATCTAGAATTTTAAAATATGGATGCATTACTAAAATTTCCAAAAATATATACATAATATACTTAATTTTATTTAGAGATCATGGATTCACATGCCTGATATACTTCGTTTCAGAAGTAATCATGTTGAAGCTTGAAGGCCCAATTATGAAGCTACTTTTAACACAAACTAATGTAATTACCCATTTGGGTGTTGCTTTACTTGTGGTGATGTATTGAATGGTGTTATTGTCTCGTCGAAAAACTAAAATTGTTAAAGTGAATCAGACAAAAATAATCTCTTCAATAATGACATGGTCAAAAGTATTTAAATCAAGACACTTGATAAGCAACTGATATAAATAACTATCATACAACCCATATCATGGACATAATTGCCAAACGACTCTCATCGAGTATATTGGAGATAGTTCGAATAAAAGAAATTTTGAATTTGCTTTTACCAAATAAACGAGATAGAAGTTCCATTGTTCGTGATGTTACAATGAATTTATCTTATTTTATAATGATACGTGATGCTACTATATGTATCCACATGGTACATGGATTATATTCTATTTAACATCACCAGCAAAGCAATCCATAATTCCAGTATGCCATTATTTTCGACCGTTAAGCTAGTTGATTCTTGGAACTTTCATGTATACTCCTTTTTATGAATATCAAAATGTATATATATAACTATAAAAACCGTAAAATAATAGTGGTACTATATACTTACAAGTATCTGAGGCCGGAACTCTAACCGGATGCTCTATAAAGGCGCCAATGTAGCTGCTGAAAGAGTCCTAATCGATCCACACTCATAAATGTCCATGGAACGCCGTCCATACTTGGCCAATCAATGTAAGTCCTTGGAACCGAATCAAAAATCAAATTCAAATCGCGAAGTAGAACTAGTGTTGCTGATGTAACTCGTGAAGCCGTAACATCGGGGAAAATAAGGATAACTATAGTCGGAGAAAGAGTATCGCCTAACTAAGGCCCAAACTATCAGACTCAAGTCTGCTACACCAGTCTACAGGGATCTAAGCCAGTCAAGTGACGTCGGGGTAAAACTAAGGCCTATTGGATCCGAATCATGTATTTCTAAGGCAAGCCCTAGTCAAACCTAAACTAAGGTCCAACATGCTTCAAATAAACAATAATTAAGCATGCAAGCACTCCACATAGCAAGGAGGGTCAATTAATAACACAAAAGCAATGCTCACAGTTACCCCGATAATTCTCGAAATAGGCCGAAAACATGATTTCTAAACACCTATGCATGATTCACTACCAACCCAAACCCCAACTAATCAACATGCATTCACACTCTCAAGCTCAATCTAAGAGAGGGAAACCATAGCCTACCTGTAGGCCGATCACACGCGCTCCAAAATCACTTCTCCAGAGCTTTTCCTTTTCGAACGTCCTCGAAACTCTGCCCCGCTATCAAAAATAGAGTCACGACGTTATTACGGTCGTTTAGACACCAAAATCACAACAAACGGAGACGAGTCAATTTTGGAGTCAAAATGAGAATCGTGGGACCCGCAC